AAAAAATTTCTGAGATAGGGCGTTTTCGAACAGACTGCCGAGATAGGTCGATCTTCCGACCCAGTCATCGAATTGTTAATGCTCGCAATGTTGTCCTCAGAAAACTAGTGGTGGAAAAACTGGAGATTTGATCTCTTCTTTTGTTAAGAGCGAAATGCACCACACAAGCGGCTTTTCCAACCTTCAATACACAACACAAGTGGCTCGAAGAAAAGGAAAATTTCGCTTGGTTTTCCAAGCCGCTTGTGTGGTGTATTTCGCTCTTTAGTCCACAGCTGTATGCAAAATTTTACGAATCGTATAGACGATTATCGAGACAAAAAATCACATTTTCAACTATAATGCAGTGTCGTAAACTACGTAATCGCGGAGTGGTGAATTTCAAAATACTTATTGTGGGCCTGTACAAATCAGTAGAAAAGTTTCACGGTGAGAAAATTTTACATTTCAGCTGTGCCATTTCGTAACTTTTTACTGCCAGAAATTTTTGACAGTTGCTTTGATGTCAAAAAAAAAGGCTAGCAAAATAAGCAATCAAAATGCAGCATTTATATGGAAAATGTTTGCCTTTTCTGATTTTTCCAGAACAGAAAGCCATGCACTTATTAGACGTCTTAGAATTAATATAATGTTCTTTCCCGTATGCAACGCGGTATCCTGCGGGTGCCCAAAACAGCCCAGAAATCATTCCCGTACTCCAAAAATGGGTACTAGAGAGCGAAGTTTGGAACGTATTGGAAAAACTAGTTTGTCCTAAGATCGGATTTGGAGGGTAACATATGCATGTATGTCCGATATTTTGTAGACCTGGTGCAAGTAATGGGCGAATTTAGATACTTTTTTATCATACACTCGTGTACATCTACAGGCCCTTGGTAGTTTCGTGGAATTTCAGAATAGCATAGAGGGAGATCCTTTTGCACAGAAATACTCCACGGGAATAGTGACTAAGTGTCTTTAGTCTCGATTTTGCAAGAAAGTGTCCAACTGTCTTAGGAGCCTGGATGCTTGGAACACTTGCTCGCGGTAGAACCTTTTGGCTGGTATGCGGATCCTTTCGGCGTGTCAATGTCCTTTGAAAACAACCATAAGTTTGTAGGTACTTTCCTTGCTCATTCTTAAAGAGCCTAGGTTTTAAGCGACTCGTAGGTATTCCACACCTATCTGGTAGTATTAAGCGATTCTGTACAGCTCCATGTCTGCTTCG